GCCACTGGGTTGTAATATTACATGTTTGGTAGTGGATCCGACGGACGCATAAAAACAGGTAGCAAACAGAGGTCGCTATCCCGGTCGCGGCTCATAGCATCTATTGCAACACTTCGCATCGTATCGCACCGAACATCATCTCATTGCTTCGTTCCGCTTCGAATGGCAACGCTTCGCTTGGCTTGGAATTGCTTCACGTCGCGTTGCCTCACTTCGCATCGCAGTGCTTTGCATCGGATCACTTTGCATAGATTTACTAACCACTAACGAGAAAGTATTGTAGTCGCGAAAAAATTTTAAAATGTAGTGTTTTTGGATGTTATATGTACATCACATCATGTTACCGTCCGTCTGTTTGTCCGTCGGTCTATGTCCGCTAAGGCTGGTCTCTCTATAACTTAGAAATACTGATCGGATTTGGGCGAAATTTTTACACAAGGTTACTACTGCCAAGGACAAAATGCTATGTGTCTTTAGAAAGCGATCCAGTAGCGGCGGGAGAAAATTCCAAAAACGAAAAATATAAAAATCAGTCAAAAATCGTTTCCGGATGTTTCAGAGAGTTCTGATCATTTCTGAAAAATTTTCAGGGGTGACAAATTGGAATGTAAGAGCTGTAGGGCGTGTGAGAGAACGTATCGCAATTTTTTGATACATACACATCATAAATTTCTCATGAAAGTTGGATATTTTCTCGTCTTAAGACGGATCAAAGCGAAATTCTTACGGAACAAGTTTATTTTTGGTTGCTCAGTATGGAGATTTGTTCTTGACTCATTTCTATCGCCTTGCAGTATACGAGGGGATTTGGATTTGTACATATACTGGGTAATCTAGTAGTAGTAGTAGCAAATTAGACTCCTGTTGTCCTGCTGGGTCAGTATTGGCGTTTTGTTAGAGGTATACTTCCAACTCCCAAACCTCTCCCCGAACTCCTACAGGTTAGTAATTCGGATCCCGGAACTTCCGCATCTCTGCTACAATTTCATAGTGCTTCAAAATCGACTCGACAAGTTATTATTATTGTTCAAATCAACAGCTTTGTATCAATTGTAGTTTGTTATGGCTCCACGAATGTCTGTTGCAGTTTCAGAAATTGGATTTTCGACCCCCAACCCCCGGTGTTAGACTTTGCCGCTCTGCAAACTTTCGGTGCTGTCGCAGACTAGATTATCCCTAACACCTGCTCCTAGTCGGATACCCGAAATCTTCGCTTCCTGAAGAGAAACTTACACCTTTTGCTCGAGGTAATCCTGCAACTCCCTAATGTTTGATGTTCTTTGGGTCATTCTCTCTAAGTGGGAAGAGCTAAAACTCCCTATCTCAACTCTCGAGGCTGGGGAGTTTATCCCTCTTCAGACATTGTAAGTCCAAGGGGGGTGCAATAGTTTACCCCTTCGCGTCCCAATTTCATTACTGTTCAGATCGTGTACCTTTGCATCAGGGCTTCAATGCCCTATATAGTTATGGATAGCTAAACCGCCAACTCTATCAACTTGGAGGATCATCCATCGCATGTTACTAAACGCGGTCAACCACTGGGTGTAATGCTCAGCTTCTGCAGAAGAGGATAACGGCAAATTACTCCCTGGTGGCCCCTAAGACTTGAGGGTTTGTCACCCCGAACCACAACACCACGGAACAGACCAGGTCGGCCGACCAGCAACTGCTCTTGTGGTCGGCAGTTCACCATGATGAAAATCATGACATATACATACACCCCCCTCCCCCCAAAAAACATCCACATGTGGTCTCAGGTATAACGGATTGGCGTTAAGTGCAGCTATCTTGACAGGAAAATCCGCATTCGAAAGCAGACATTTTTATTTGGCTTGTCAACATCGAGGCCAACCTGCCTCCGGAACATAAGTACTTTCTGCTGTGTATGGTGATGGCAACTGGGCTGACCAAATATCAAATCCGTCACCGCGGGAACAAGCTTATCTACAAGGAGTACCTCGCACTAGCCAACAAAGAGACTCGCAGCTGACTAGAAGCAGGATTCGCCTCGACAGTGGATGATAGCAGAATCTGAGGAACTAGTCCTCTAGTCAACAATGGAGATTTGGCGCCAGTAAGCCAGCACAAGAAGTTCAGCCCTAAGCGAACAATTCGCTGTGGTCTAAGGTGATTATGTGCCATTCTCGGCGACATGGTACTCAAGCCCAGCATGCTGCCTCGGCGAAAGATGTTGCACCACTACGGCAGAATCAAGCCAACGTCAGTACTTGTAGTACGTTTTTGAGCATCGTAAAACTTTCCCCCAGGAAACTTTCCAAAGGCGGCATATCTCCACCACTAAAACAGAGTCGCCTGCGAACCCAATAACTCGCATATTGTATACACGCCTCAGAGGATAGACCATCGGATGGCTCCACAGTAACCACCATCAAATGCCAGTCACAAGAAAGGTTTATCTACTTCAATCACATGCAAAAGTTTAGGCAATCGCTTATCACAATCACCTGATGTGAACAGAATCATTCCATCACATCTTCGTCTACAAGACCACACATTAAGACAGGTAGACTTGACTTGCTGACGTATATTCAAGAACCCTTGGGGGCGCACTGCAAGAGCACCTGCGGGAATTCTACGCAATTATTGGCTATATTCCACACATCATATGTTTCCCGGCAAAGCTGTCTCTACAACACCACACAATTGAGACTGGCAGACTAGACTTGCTGACGTATATTCAGGAACCCTTGGGGCTCACTGCAAGAGCACTTGCGGGAATTCTATGCACATATTGGCTATATTTCACGCATCATATGTTTCCCGGCAAAGCTGTCTCCAAAACTTAGAATGATAGATAAAATGTTTTCGGTACGCGCCTCATTCTGCTACCTGTGCTCAGCGCCCAGCATAACGGTATGCGAAGGAAGAACGTTGCCTGATGGACGGTAACTACCAGTACGGCCGACGAATCCTGTCTATGGGCTAATTGTGTGGGTCTGTTTGACTGACTCGATCCGTTTAATTTCTTTATTGTAGATAGTTTTTTCTCAGATGGTTTTACTGATTACTTATGAACTGATGCGTACGAAGTGCAGAGTCAAGCTACTTGACGCCATTTTTTCGAATGGAGGAACGTGTTTTAAACCGAAGTTCGCAACAGCGCTGCATTTCCTAAAACTCCATTGATGCTAAGTGTAAGTAATATCCGCAGCGGAAGGCACTCCTAGCTCGCTTGTGCGCTTGTTTGTCCAGCATTCTGTTTTGGAAAAGGTTTATTCGCAGTGCTGTAGTTTTTATTATCATTTCTAGATACTTGCAGGTAAGCCTTCATGATAACATATTTTCTTAAATTCTCCGTCTCTCTCAAAAAATTGCTCAGTTTAGATGCTTTATCGAATTGTTGCCGCATAAATAAGATTTTAGTTTTAGTCGTGCAAACCAGGCCTCTTTCACTGGTTCACTTTTCTAATATCTGTTTGATCTGCAAGCTTTCAGAGCAAATGGGAAACTCAAAATTAAATGGACACCTTCTAGAATGGCTACAGAAGCTGTTGATGGCTTTCGGACACTAAGAACATGGGATGGATGAAGTGAGTGAACAGTTAAATAAGCTTACGTCTGCAGTCTTCTGTCGCAAAGAAATTTTCTTTTGAAAACATTATGTATCCTTTTTATGAAAAAAATCCTTATCGATCATTGACAAGTTTTGGCGGTTTTCAAACCTATCCTTCAAATCAGCGGTTTTGGTAAGTTTTTCTTGGGATAATTATTTTCAGCTACAATTTATGAACCCGTAAAGTGAATGATGCTGAACATTACGATGTAAATGTTGTACGTTTGGAAAACAAACGTCTACCTATTTTTCATATTTTTCAATCAATAACAAAATGAGGACCAACTTTTGCTCACTTGCCTCTTTTCGTTTTTTTTGTTAGATGTTTCCAAATTTATACGTAGACACTATTTCTTTAGAAAACGCAAAATTTTTGACTATGACCGATTCATTTTCAAAGTACGGTCAGGCTTACATGTTGAACTCTGCCAATGGAGTAGAGGTAACAAATAATTTTATAAGATATTTTACACATCACTGTATACCAGATCAAATGATTTTCGACAATGGCACAGAATTAAAAAATTCAGTAGTCAAAGAACTTTTAGAATTGCATAAAGTCAAAATACATTTTATTAGTTCACAGCACCCAGAATCTAACGGAACCGTAGAACGTTTCCACTCAACGCTCATAGAACATTTAAGATTATTAAATAATCAGGTAGAGTACAAGAACGAACCTATAGAAACTAAGGTAAATTACGCTATTAGCTTATAATAACACAATACATTCTGTAACCAATCTTAAACCCTATGAAGTGATTACTGGTCATTTCAATACAGAATCACCTTTTAATATAGACATAGATAAGCAATTATTAAATAATTA